TGTTAAGTTTTTCTTTCTTTCCCCACCAAGTGAGCATAGCATCCTTTTCTTTTTTCTTTTCTTTCTTTTATTTTTGAGACGGAGTTTCGCTCTTGTTGCCCAGGCTGGAATGCCGTAGCGTGATATTGGCTCACCACAACCCCCGCTTCCCGGGTTCAAGCGATTCTTCTACCTCAGTCTCCAGAGTAGCTGGGATTGCAGGCGTGCGCCACCATGCCGGGCTAATTTTGTATTTTTGGTAGAGACGGGGTTTCTCCATGTTGGTCAGGCTGGTCTAGAACTCCCGACTTTAGGTTATCTGTCCGCTTTGGTCTCCCAAAATGATGAGATTACAGGTGTGAGCCATTATGCGCAGCTGCCTTCTTTTCTTACTGGTTTCTTGAAGTAGCCCCACATCTCTGCCTTCCTGCCTGTTACCATAAAGAAACTTTTCCTGTAGTCATCTAAATTGAGTTGCTCCGTTTGTATTAAAAACCCTTGCTGCCCGTTTACTCAAGGATATTATCCTGGTGATTTCTTACTGGTCATCATTTTGCTTTTCCCTGGATTATGGTCATCATTATTGTGTATTAGTTTCCTAGGGCTGTCTCACCGCAGACTTGGTGTCTTGAAACGGAAATTTCTTCTCTCACAGTTCTGGAGGCTAGAAGTTCAAATTCAAGGTATTGGCAGGGTTGGCTCCTAGTGGAGGCTTCTAAGGAAATGATCTGTGCTTCTCTCCTAGCTTGTGGTGGTTGTTAGCAGTCATTGGTGTCCTTTGGTTTGCAGACTCATCAATCCAATCTCTGCTTCTATCTTCACGTGACATTCTCTCCTAGGTGTGTCTTTGTTTTTTCTTCATAGTCATTGAACAACTGCACACTTTAATCCATTACAAACTCAACTTGATTACATCTGCAAAGACCCTAATTCCAAATAAAGTCACATTCACAGATTCTAGAGCTAGCACTTGACCTTAGATTTTTTTGGCGGGAGGACACAATGCAATCCATAACAGCATATACACTTGTTATTATTTTCATCAAACTTTCCTCTCCACCCTGTTTCCTTCTAGTAATACTCTATTTCTTTACTCCCTTTAGTAGCAAAGTTTCTCTACATTGCTTATATTCAATTCACTGTTCCTACTTCCTCTCTTTTAGACATCAGATATTTACCTCGATCATTCTATTGAAATTGTTGCTGTTCTTCAGGTTACAAATGACCTACCTCCCTGTTGCCAAATCCAGTCTCAGCTGGTAGTCTTCATTTCACTTGACTCAGTATTTGACATAGTTCATCACTCAGTCCTCGGTGATATTTTCTTCTCTTTGCTTTCTAGCTATATATACCTTTTGGTTTTATCTATTGGCTCATTGGCCACTCTTCTTAAGTCCTGTTTGCTGGTCCTGATGGATTTGTTGGAATTTTTGATGTTTGCTCAGACCTGATGGTTTTGATGGAGTTTCTTTGGCAATGTAATTTATTCACAATTCTTTTGAGGGTTTTCAATTTTGTAAATGTAATAGTGGTTTCTGCATCGTTTTGCTTATGACATTAATTTTTACTTAAAGCATCATGTCACAATTGGTATGAGAAAAAAGTAAAAGGGGACAGGGCACGGTGGCTCAGGCCTGTAATCCCAACACTTTGGGAGGCCAGGGTGGGTGGATCACTTGAGGTCAGGAGTTCAAGACTAGCCTGGCCAACATGGTGAAACCCCATTTTTACTAAAAAATTCAAAAATTAACCAGGTGTGGTGGAGGGTGATTGTAATCCCAGCTACTTCAGTAGGCTGAGGCAGGAGAATCGCTTGAACCTGGGAGCCAGAGGTTGCAGTGAGCCAAAGTTGCGCCATTACACTCTAGCCTGGGTAACGAGCAAAACTCTGTCTCAAAAAAAAAAAAAAAAAAAAAGAAAAGAAAAATGTAAAAGAGAGTATTTTGCAGGGGCTTTGGTTCAAGTTCTGTAATGTATATATTTACTGTTATCATCAGTAGTTTTCAGAAGAGCATTGTGTTCTTCCTTCAAATGGATTTTTAGTGACATTGGTATCAAATTATTTTTGCTAACTCATATTTGACTGTGATTTAAAAATTATGTTTGGCAGCTATGTGTTCTATTAACTATAGTGTTTCAATGAAACACTTTTTTGTACAACAAAAAAGTAGTTGTACAATTATTGGATAAAATAGATATTTTCAGTGCTCGACAGTTTTGTTGTATTGTTCACAACCTAGTTTAAAGAATGTAACTAGCAAGTTGTATAAAATGTCTTAGAATTTTTATTTTTGAGAATTTTCTGTTAGTGCTTGTCAGACATATTGAAGGGCATGTATCCCTTGCCCCATATATATCATATATTTTTAATTTTAATTTTTTATAAGTAGTCTCTTAAACATGTGTATGATCCTTTTCCAGCTGTGTGTTATCTACTTGTTAAAATCCTAATAAATGTTTACGTATTGAAATACCTGCATTTTGGAAATCTGTAATTACATCAACAGTTGTTATCTGCTGTGTCCAAAATAATAGAGAAATTATTAGGTTTTAAAACTTTATTCAAAGTGATTTTATTTATAACATCTGTAAGTTTTATTATTTGTTTTAATATTTTATTCTCTAAAATAGTATGTTAATAGTATTTGGTATTGATGTTTGTGTTTTGCATAAATGTGCTAACAGGATACTATCAACTTTTGCCATGGTTTCTGGCAAATAAAAAAAATCATATTATTGGGCTCTTAATATTTATTGGATGATCTTCTGGACACTAGGTACTCCTTCTCTAAAAATTGAATCATATTTATTGTTATTAACAAGTATATAGGCCTTTATTTTCTCATTTTCAGTAGAATTGCTAATTATATTTTTTCAAATCTGATACTAGCTTTTAATATTTGTCACTATTGATGTGCATTTTATTTTATTAATGTTCAGGAATATGTGATAAATGCTGCTGATGTTTTATTCATTTTTTATTCTTCAGCTGGATTATTCAATGGTTTTTATTCATTGCATTAGTTTTTATTATTCAGCAGTATTATTTTGTGATTGCTTATGTTATTTTATCTATTTTTCATTTTGTAATATTTTCACTTGAGTCTTAAAAATACCTCCATTTTATATGGCTAACATTCTTTTGCTGTGTGTTTATGTATTTTTAGTTTCTCTTTTCTAATGATTCTGCAACTAAAACATGTTTTTAAGTTTATTATTTTTATATTTATTTATTTATTTATTTGAGACAGAGTCTCACTCCATCACCCAGGCTGGAGTGCAGTGGTGCAATCTTGGCTCGCTGCAACCTCTGCCTCCTGAGTTTAAGTGATTCACCTGCCTCAGCCTCCAGAGTAGCTGGGACTACAGGTACCTACTACCATGCCTGGCTAATTTTTTGTATTTTTAATAGAAACAACGTTTCACCATGTTGGCCAGGCTGGTCTCGAACTCCTGACCACAGATAATCTGCCTGCCTCGGCCTCCCAAAGTGCTGGGATTACAGGCATAAGCCACTGCACCCAGCCTATTATTTTGATTTTTTAATGGTTGTCTTTTTCATTTGTCAAGTTGTTTTGGCCTGTGAGCTCATATACTGTTGGGGGTGTCACCTACTTCCTCTGGTAATCTATTATTAGGAAATGATCAAAAGCCAGTTCCCAGCCTGTGTGCCTCCTGGAAGTTTAGGGAAAATATGTGGGTGTATTTCCTGTGGTCTAAAGTTAGTGCTAGATATTTCCTGTGGTCTAAATGCTTGTGTCATCCCCAAATTTGTATGTTGAAATTGGGCACCAGTTCAACATATGATAGAATTAGGAAGTGGAGCCTCTGGGAAGTGATTTGTTTATGAATGCAGTACCCTCATGAATGGAACTAGTGCCCTTATGAAAGAGGTCTGAAAAACTCCCTTGCTCCTTCTACCATGTGAGGACACAGAGAGGAGGCTCCATTTATTTGGTGTCTGGGCTTTCATCAGAAACCATCTCTGCTAATGCTGTGTTGTTGGACTTTCCAGCCTCCAGAACTGTGAGAAACAAATGTTTCTTGTTTATAAGCCATGCAATTTATAGTGTTTTGTTATAGCAGCTTCAACACACTAAGATGCTAGTGCTGTTGTAACAAAGTACCACAAACTGGGTGGCTTAGAACAACAGAACTTTATTTTTTCATGGTTCTGGAGGCCAGAAGACTGAAATCAAGGTTTCAGCAAAACCGTGTTCCCCTCAAGGGTTCTAGGGAAGAATCTTTCGTTGGTTTTTACAAGCTTCTGGTGGATGCTAGCAATCCTTGACATTCCTTAGCTTACAGCTGCATCACTTTAATTTCTGCCTGTTGCTATGTGGTCTTCTTATAAGTGACACCAGTCATTGGATTTAGGGTCCACCTTAATTCATTGTGACCACATCTTAACTTTATCATATCTACAAAGACTCTATTTTCAAATAAGGTCACATTTGAGAGTGCTAGGGGCTTAGGACTTGAACATATCTTTTTCAGGGACACAGTTCAACACTTAACAACGGGACTAGCCTAAGTGTAGAGAGTTTCAGATAATAGAGAACCAGTGTTACATTACTCTGTCTTGATTTTGCAACTGTACTTGACAATTCCCATGGTTAGGCATATAAGCTAACTCTTTGGGAGGTGGCGTTGTCCTCAATCTTAATCAGGTTTGAGGGGAGATAAAAATAGAGGAATAAAAGCCCAAGACCTATCTAGTTTGTACTTTTTTATCTTAACATAGCTTTGACGCTGCCTTGATATTACCCTAATGATACCTTGGGCCAACGCTACTGCTCCTGTGGGAAGAAAGATGTATATTAAGGCCATATATTAGCTCAAATATGGGGGAAAAAAAGGAAGAAAATACAATTTTTTTTTCCTGAATATATTCTCTCATTGTTGCTTCTGGCTTTTTCACTCCCTATATTCCCATCCTAAATGCCCCCAAAATAAATCAGACTTTGTTTAGGGGTTTCATACAGTTTAAAAAAAACTTTTTTTTGTTGTTTTTTTTTATTGTTAGGAATATTTTCTATTTTTAATTTCTTCAGAGTTGATTTTGGGATTCACCATAGCAATTGATAATCCTTTTATCATTTTAAATCTGAATTTTTTTCATCTACAATCCCCTTTTACTTACAGGAAATGATATAAATCCTGTAGGTAAAAAACCCCAACATTTTCCATATGGAGAACAAATGGTATAGAAAAGAAGGAAGATTTGTAGCCTATTTGACCTATGTTGTAATTCTGAAAAATTTAGCACTTATTAGCTGTGTGACTCTTGGTTAGTCACTTAACTTGTCTGAACTCAGTTTACTCCCATGTAAAATGGAATGATGATGTACATAAAGCGCATACCTTAGATTAAAAATGATGGAACTTTTACTATTATTACTATACTTAGGTTTAAATAACTTTTTGATGTAAATTAGATACTGTGATAACTGCATTCTATTTCTGTTTGTTTTGTTTAAGTAACTGTGACTCAAAAGAGCCCGAAGTGTAATTATAGCTTCCAGAAGTTGCTTAATGTACTGTGAGCAAATTGCTAAAGTATCAGAAAAAAAGAAATATAGTATATAAATTTAATTAGGGGCTGGTGTTTTCTCTGAATCTCTTAATGTTTTTTTTCCACAGGGAGGAATAATTTTTTTTTTCATCTATAATTTGGAAGCCAAATCAGTAACAAAATGAAACCAGTACAGCATCTGTTGACCACCAGTAACAAGTCAGCAAATGTTCCAGAATTAACTTTTAAAAAAGGACCACATCATTTACCATTGTCACCTAAACTAAGGGAAAAACATAATGCAAAACTCATTCATGATAGAATTGAACCAATGGTCCTAAGATCTCCACCAACAGCAGAATCCATTGTACGGTATGCTTTGCCCATTCCATCGAGTAAGACAAAGGACTTACTACCAGAAGAAGCAATGATCAGAAAAGTTATCAAACATCTGAAGATGGTAAGAGGCCTGTTGGTTTCTGTGTTGCAGGGTCCCTACGATCACTGTTGGTTTCTGTGTTGCAGGGTCCCTACGATCACCCCAGTCTTGGTGATATGCTAGGAGGACTCACATGACTCCACATATAGTCATACTGATGGCTAAGATTTATTACAGTAGGCACATGAGGTGAAATTGGGAGAAAACCGGATCTAAGTTTGCAAAAGTCTATTCCTTTTAGAGTCACCCAGGACATGCTTAATTTCTTTAGCAATGAATTGTGACAACACACATGAAATGTCTGCCAGGGAAAATCATTATCTGCCAGGGAAATCATTAGAAACTCAGTGCCCTGGGTCTTATTGGGGGTTGTTTACCTATTCACTCTGTGCCTAGGATGTACAAAAATTTCATTCAGACTCTCACAAGGAAAGGAGGTTCAGTATAAATCACATCATACAAACATCTTAGGGGGAGTGAGCTGCTTCTGTCAGTGAATGGGGAGAATGCTCCTGAAATCCAAGCTCTCAGATGGCAGGCTAATGCCAATCTTGCAAGCAGACCTTTCTAAGTCCTACATTTCTACTATGTTAAACTCTGCATTTCAGAAACTTTATTTATTTATTTACTTATTTTTGAGACAAAGGCTTGCCCTGTCACCCAGGCTGGAGTGCAGTGGTGTGATCTCTGCTCACTGCAACTTCCTCCTGAGTTCAAGCAATTCTCCTGTCTCAGCCTCCCGAGTAGCTGGGACTACAGGTGTGTGCCACCACCCAGGTAATTTTTGTATTTTTAGTAGAGGTCGGGTTTCACCATATTGGTCAGGCTGGTCTCAAACTCTTGACCTCAGGTGATCCACCTGCCTTGGCCTCCCAAAGTGCTGGGTTTACAGGCGTGAGCCACCATGCCCAGCTGAAACTTTAGTTCTTGATGTGGGGAAAAATTTCCCTTTCTCTAAGTTTCTTTTTGGACAGTGATCCAGAATTGAGTTGTAAATGTACCAAATATCAAGTGAGAACAATGAGGAAGAACACAAATATAAAAATACTATGTCAAACTTGTACAGTCCAACTTTGTTGAAAGTTTGAGGCCAGAGAATTTTCTTTAAAAATTCATTGCTTTCCGATCTCCATCTTTTGATTTCCTCCAACTCTCTTCAGAGGAGAAAGTCAAGGCAGAGTTTGAGGAAAACTACTTAATGTGTCAACCAGTCATGGACAGGCCTTCTCTGTTTTACGATACCTATCAACACAGAAATGATACAGTCATAGAACATCTCTCCAATGCTAGGGAGTAGGGTCAAGGAATTTTGCTTTTTCCTCAACATGACATGAAATAGGGCATAGGATGGAAAATTTAAGGTTATAGCACTGGAAGAAATAAGTATTACTGTTAAAAACATCCTGGAACAGTTGATTAAATATTATTTACATTTAATATAATTAATTTTGAACTATTAAAGTATCTAATGTGCTTTGATTTTTTTTTTTAACAGGTTGTTTCCACTTTGGAAGAAACCTATGGACATTGTGATGAGAATGGAGAAGAACCATTTGTAAAGCGTGAAGAGGAAGAATTATCTTTATCTGTAAGTATATGCAACCCTAAGATAGATACATTAACACTGAAAATGGTCAATTTTCTTTTTAAAAATATACATTTAAAATATTTTCTTTTGGAGTCCTTATATGTTCTCAGAATGATTTTCCCATTCATGAAAGGATCATCTTAGAAAATTACTCAACCCAATCAAATCCCTCTTGACCTGAATTTTGCCAAGAAGGTTTCAGAAAAGGAGTTCTACATACTCATTAGGAATGACCAAAATTTTGAAGATAGACAATATCAAGTTTTGGTAAAGATATGGGGCCACAGGAATTCTCATACAGAGCTGGTGAAAACACAAATGGTACTGTTATATTGAGAAACAGTTTTACAGCTGCTCATAAAGTTTAACATATACTTAAAAGACAACCTGTTATTCAATTTTTAAGTGACTATCCAAGATTAATGAACACATATATCCTCACAAAGACTTGTATATAAATGTTTATAGAAGTTTTGTTCATAAGCCAGAATAGCTACTGAATCTAGCAGCCCAAATATTTATTAACCGGTGAATGGATAAGCAAATTGTGGTATGGCATACAATGAAATACTCTTCACAATAAAGGGAGCAAAATACTGACACACAGAATGACGTGGATGAATCTCAAAAACATTAGGATGTGGGGAAGCTAAATAAATAAGGCTACATACTGTATAATTCTATTTATATGAAATTCTGGGAAAGGGAAAACTGTAGTAAAGGACAAGTGGTTGTCTTGAGCTAAGGTAGGAGGAGAGAATTGACTGCAAAAGAGTTCAGTGAAGCTTTTTGGAATAATGGAAATGTATATTTTTATTGTGGTGATGATTACCCAACTGTTAAAAGGATTGTGTAACCACAATCCTTATACTGCATGACCTTGGGGTTCTTACGTTTTGTGGCCCTGCCAGGATTGAATCAAAATGTGAACCAAAACTAAAATCTAAAATTGAAATCCAATAAAGATGACAACGATAGAAACTGGGGATGACTAGAGGTAGGAGGGAAACTGGGTAAGGGTTAAAAAACTAACCATTGGGTACCATGCTCAATACTTGGGTGACAGGATCATTGGTACCCCAAACCTAGCATCATGCAATATATCCAGGTAACAAACCTGCACATGCACCAGCTAAATCAAAATAAAGGTTGAAAAAAAACCCAAAAAATAAAATGAAATGGAAGTTCATATTCTTCCTGTAGTCTTTACCATAACTTTTTCATAATTTGTATTTCAGTTATCCTAATCTCTGGCCACCACCTCCTGTCTTTCCCACTCTGTCTGTCCAATATTCTGACTCTAAAAATCCTTTGATTTCACAAGGAACCATAATCCGTTGGTCCTGCTGCCTTTTTAGTGTCCCAAGTCTTCCTGTGCCCTTACTTACCCAGCTTAAATAGCATGGTCCACTATTACTATCAGTTCCTTTCATATGTACTTAACTGTCTTGCCCAGTTCTATTTTATTGATCTTATTTGGTTAAATTATAAACCTGGTCAAATCAATCTTACCTTCTCTATATTTCTCTATCTTGTCTATATTTCTGGCACCTAAATGTGGGTGGAAGAAGATCCTCAAGAGGGCTAATGGTTTCTCTTTATGTTTGTGATTAGTAACACTAATCTCTTCGTTTTCCTACTCTGCTGGATGGATTATTTTAGTTTTTTTCCTCATCTCCTATAAGATAATAGGTCTTTACTGTGACAAAAAAAGTATGTGAGCCTCTAAGTATATTTATTTATTTAATTTTTTTTTGAGACAGAATCTCTGTCATCTAGGCTGGAGTGCAGTGGTGCAATCTTGGCTCACTGCAACTGCTGCCTCCTGGATTCAAGCTACTTTTGTGCCTCAGTCACCCAAGTAACTGGGATTACCAGCATGTGCCACCATGCCCAGCTGTTTTTTTTTTTTTTTTTTTTTTTGGTATTTTTAGTAGAGATGGGGCTTTGCCATGTTGGCCAGGTCTTGATCTCCTGACCTCAAGTGATCCACCTGCCTCAGCCTCCCAAAGTGCTGGGATTACAGTTGTAAGCCACTGAGCCCAGCTCAGTATCTTTAAATGTAATCCTCAGGGAACATATTCTTCATGGAGAACCACTCTATGAAAATCCTAACTGTATATAAGCCTGTAATATTTGTTTATCATAAGTCAGTTCTCTGATTTATAAATCACTGCTTTACTAGAAAGGATTTAATCATTATGACATTTAAGTTGTAACTATTTTTTTTGTCAAAGTTTTGTGTTGCCCATTAGTGAGAGCAAAAGACTGCAGTTCATGGCAAGTATACAGTCAGATGTCATAGCTAGTAGCCTTTTTCTAATGTCAAGAGTTTTTTTTTTGTGGTAGTGATTATCTTTTACTGGGCCACCCAAAAATTTCAGGACCGTAAGGCTGGGATGCTGGATTTTCTAGAACTGTGTAGGGAAGAAAGAGAGGAGAGATATGGCTGGGTATGTCATTGACGGGCCACTTCTCAGTGGGTATTTTCTTCTATGTTTTCTCTCTGGGAGAATTTGCTAGTATGGCATTTGAAGCATGGCTTCTTGCCTTGTGTGTTTGAAGGGACATAAATTACACAAAATTAAAATATTTTCAAAAAACATACTAGAAAAAGATAGACATGCATATGGATTCTGAAGTAAAAGTAACTATATTTTATTATTCTTTTCAAAAGGCTGGGGATGATATGAATTCATTCTTGACGTGTTGTTCACAATTTGCAGCTCAGCTAGAAGAAACACTTAAGGAAGAACAAAATGTATGTATTTTGTATATATTGTCAAGTATAAAATATCAAACTTGTACTGGTTGTTGAAAATTGAATCTGCTATCCAGTTAGCCAACATTAACCTAGATTCAGTGTCTTAAAGAGTTATAAATGGCATTGGAAAGCATTATTTATTTATTTTGTATTCTTTTTGTAATCATCATCAAGGGTTTTTACTATGCCCAAATACAAAGATTATGCCACTGACCCACCACAAATAAGACAAGAAATTTTAATTAATTATTCAATAGTTGTGTGAATTTTAATGAATCTGCCATATTTCCTCACTAAGAGCTTGTAAGTAGTTACAAGATAGTTAATAAATATTAAGGTTGTGGCAATCAGCATCAAAGAGACAATGATTGGCCATTCCAGAGAATGACCACACAATCATGGTTTAATATCATAACCCTTATCAATTAGCTGTCAGTGAAAGGTAAGAATACAGTGGAATTGTTGAAATTGTCTTTTTTTCATGTAAAGAATACACTTAATTTCTTTCTTTTTTTGGCAATAGGTATTTAAATTGACATGTAATTATACATATTTATGGGGTACATAGTGATATTTTGTTACATACAATGTCTAGTGGTCAAATCAGAGTAATTAGCATATTCATCACCTCAAGCACTTATCATTTCTTTGTGATGGGAACATTCAAAATCCTCTCTTCTAGCTGTTTGAATATATATAATAAACTCATTAGCTGTGGTTACCCTATAGTACTGTAGAACAATATAACTTATTCCTCCTATCTAGCTGTAATATTTTTTCCTTTAACCAACCTCTCCCTATCCTCCCTCACCCCTATCCTTTCCAACCTCTAGTAATCATGATTCTACTCTCTGCTTCTATGAAATGAGCTTGTTTTAGCTTTTGCATATGGGTGAAAACATGCAATATTTATCTTTCTGTTCCTGACTTATTTCTCTTAATATAATATCCTATAGGCCCATCCATGTTACTGTGAATGACAGGATTTAATTCTTTTTTGGAATTAAGAATGGAATCTGGCTGGGCACAGTGGCTCACGCCTGTAATCCCAGCACTTTGGGAGGTCGAGACAGGTGGATCACAAGGTCAGGAGTTCAAGACCAGCCTGGCCAACATGGTGAAAACCCGCCTGTACTAAACATACTAAAAAAAATTAGCTGGGCATGGTAGCATGTGCCTGTAATCCCAGCTAATTGGGAGGCTGAGGCAGGAGAATTGCTTGAACCTGGGAGGTGGAGGATGCAGTGAGCTGAGATCACACCATTGGCACTCCAACCTGGGTGACAGGGTGAGACTCCATCTCAATAAAAAGAAAAGAGTTGAATCTTGTTTGGAATTAAAAGTGGCTGAATGGTAGTCCATTCTTCCTATGTGCCCCATTTTCTTTATTCATTTGTCTATTAGTAGCCATTTAGATTTTTCTATATCTTGGCTATTACAGTTTAGTACTGCAATAAACATGGAAGTACAGATGTCTCTTCAGTATATTGATTTCCATTTCTGTGGATATACACCCAATAGTGAAATTGCTGGATTATATGGTAGTTCTATTTGTAGTTTTTTGAGGAAACTCTATGCTGTTTTTCATTATGGTTTTACTAGTTTACATTTCCACCATAAGTATATATCAGTTCCCTTTTCTCTGCATTCTTGTTGGGATTTCTTATTTTTTGTCTTTTTTATAATAGCCATTTTAACTGAGGTGAGATGATATCTCATTGTGGTTTTGATTTATATTTCCCTGATGACTAGTGATGATGAGGATTTTTTTTTCATATACTTCTTGGCCATTTGTATATCTTTCTTTTGAGAAATATTCAAGCCATTTCCCTATTTTAAAATCAGGTTTTTTTTTTTTGCCATTGAGTTGTTTGAGTTCTTTGTGTATTTTGAAAATTAATCACTTGTTAGATGATTTTTTTTTACAAATATCTTTTCCCATTCTGCAGATTTTTTCACTCTGTTGATTGTTTCCTTTGCTGTGCAGAAGCTTTTTAGTTTGATATAATACCACTTGTCTGTTTTTGCTTGTGTTGCTTATGCTTTTGAGGTCTTATCCATAAAATATTTTCTCAGACCAATGTCCTGAAGTGTTTCCTCTATGTTTCCTTCCAGTAGTTTCATAGTTTTGGGTTTTATATTTATGTCTTTAAGCCATTTTTGAGTTGATTTTGCATATGGTAAGATATTCGGTCTAGTTTCATTTTTCTGCCAATGGATTTCCAGTTTTCCCAGCACCATTTATTGAAGCGACTGTCCTTTTCCCAGTGTTCTCGGTGCTTTTGTTGAAAATTTGTTGGCTATAAATAAGTGGACTTATTTTGGGTTCTCCATTGAGTTTCATTGATCTGTGTGTCTGTTTTTGTGCCGGTACCATGCTGTTGTGGCTGCTATAGCTTTGAAAAGAGAGAGAGAGAGAGAGAGAGAGAGAGAGAGAGAGAGAGAGAGAGTGTGTGTGCACGCGTGCGCACACGAGCGCTTTTTTTAAGAGACAAGGTCTCACTTTGTTGCCCAAGCTGGAGTGCAGTGGTGCAATCATAGCTCACTGCAGCCTTAAACTCCTGGGCTTGAGAGATTCTCTTGCCTCACCTTCCCAAGCTGCTGGGATTACAGGGATAAGCCACCATGCCTGGATAACTTTGTGGTATATTTTGAAGTCAGATAGTATGATGCTTCCAGCTTTCTTTTTTTGCTCAGGATTGCTTTGTCTACTCAGGGTATTTTGTGGTTCCACATGAATTTTTGGGATTCGTTTTCTGTAAACAATGTGATGGTATTAATAATAATTAATATTATTAAAATGACCATACTACTCAAAGCTATATGCAGATTCAGTGAAATTCCTGTCAAAATGATACTGGGCTTAAGCCAACATTAATTCTTCTAATATATGAACATAGGATGTCTTTTATTTTTTGTGTGTCTTCTTTAATTTCTTTCATCCGTATTTTATAGTTTTCATTGTAGAGAACTTTCACCTCCTTACCTCCTTTGTTAAATTTCTTTGGAGGTATCTTGTATATTATTTTGTATCTATTGTAAATGAAATTGCTTTCTTGATTTCTTTTTTCAGCTAGTTTTTTATTGGTATATAAACATGCTACTGATTTTATATGTTAATTTTGTATTTTGCAGCTTTTCTGAATTTATTCATTAGTTCTAAGAAGTTTTCGGTTGGATTCTTCTATGTATATACTTTTTCTATGTATATGATTATATTGTCTGCAAACAGGGATGCTTTTCAGGCCCTCCACTTAGTTGCTTTTCTGGGAGAGTCCTGGGTTAGGTGAAGCAGTGGCAAAAGTGGGAACCTCTAGAGAGCTCAAAACAGTACACAATTTTTTGGGAATATGTCTGCTATGCTCTCTCCAGAACCACTCAAAATGAGGGTTGCTGGTTTTAAGACTGCTGCTATGCTGGAGGAGGGGGTGAGGCAAGACCAAGTTAAAGTACCACGCAGTTCTCCTGTGGTGTTCAAGCCACATTTTCTTGATGTGGCGTTACTTGGTTGCTTTAAATCTTTAACTGTTTTCAGAGTTTTAAAAAAATTGGAGTGTAGGCCCTTGGACTTCCCTACTACACATTTTTTTGCTGTTATCACTCTTCAAATACCCTAATAGTTTTTTTCCTTGGTGCAAATTTACAACTGACTTTGAATTATATGTATATATTTCAGTAGACCAAGAATAACCAAGTGAGTCCTGAAGAAAATATCAAATGACCATCCTAACAGATATCAAGATTCATTATGCAGCTATATCAATTATCATTATTTGCTTTTGGTGCAAGCCTGGATGAACTGATGAAATTGAACAAAGTCTCAGATGTAGACCTCTTTATATATGGAAAATTTTGTTGATGACAGAGTCAGCAGTATAATAAATGGCTTTGGGACAACTGGTTGTTTGTAAGGAAAAAAACTGATTTGATATATGATCAAATATGATACTGATATTGATATCAGTATACTACCTGGAGCAAGAAACAATCACAAATACAAATCATAAAAGGCAAGATTGAAAAAATCACCTATATTAAATTTATAAGCTCTATTATATAAAGAATTCATAAAGAGAGGGGCAAGATAAATTTCAAATAGGGGAAAAATTCGGATCATGTGTACCTAACCTATATGTGTATTTAATCACATAAAGGATTATCTAGAGTATATAGATAATGTCTACTAATCAATAAGTAAAAGATTAAACAAATTATTATAAAATAAAAAGGCATTTCACAGTGGACCAGTTTTTATTTTTCACTCATTTTTATCAACGATTTAGATTTAGCAGTATCAGTAAGTCATGCTGTGGGGTTCCTCAGTACTTGAGAAAGGCACTGTTTTCCTAGTTTATAGTGGTTTAAATTATTGTAGAACTGTGGCTACAGTGAGTGGTTGAATTGATATGTGCTAACGTTTCCCATCAGGTTACAATGCAGAAAGGGACATTTTAAGAACCTTGGAATCTCTCTAGAAAATGGAAAGAATGAGTTATTCCTAGGTATAATATGCCTTATTGGACATTATTTTCTAAACACTTATGTAGCTGAAACTATTTTTCTTTTGACACAGACATTAATTTGCTTTGGTATATTTTCTGAAGGGTCTCAGCCCTTTTTGCTTAGATTTATGCTTTCTTATTATTTAGCTTAGTGATTCTCAGACTTTATCATGCAAAGCAATCACCTGAAGGTCTAGTTAAAACACAAATTGTTAGTCCCACATCTAGAATTTCTGATTTAGTAGGGTAGGGTAGGCCTGAGAATTTTTAATACTAATGAATATGCTTGTAGGTGGTGCTGATGCTGTTGCTATGGTACCTTACTTTTTGAACCGCAGATCTAGAGTTAGTGTTGTGGAAGATAAATTTTAGACTCGTTTAATTTTTGTTCAATTTTATGTTACTCCCTGAATGCATATAGTAACATTTTACTTTAATAATGTAATTGAAAACTTTTACTCAATTAGATAGGGTGGGTTTTTTGTTAATCATTTTAACATTAGATATTAAGTGGTAAATATTGATATTTTGAACTGTGTATGGATGCTCCTCAACTTATGAGGGAGTTACATACTGATAAACCCATCGTAAGTTGAATTTATTATATGGTGAAAATGCATTTAATACACTTGACCTACAAATATCATAACTTAGCCTACCTTACCTTAAATGTTGAGAACACTGGACATTAGCCTGCAGTTGGGCAAAACCATCTAACACAAAGCCTATTTTATAAGGAAGTGTTGAATATCTCATAAAATTTACTTAATACTGTACTAAAATTGAAAAACAGAATGATTATATGTGTATATGAAGTTCAGTTTCTGTTGGTTTTTTATTTTGTTGGTTTATTTATTCAGTTTCTCTTATAATCTCGTAAACAAGTACTTTGCATTTCCCATTAAAAATGTTAAATAGTATAATAATATTTTGTATCTTGATTTTATAGCCTATTTAACAGGAACAGAGTTGCATTGAGAAGATAGTATTGGGAAAGCAATGCTTTTTGTTATTGTACTTGGTGCCATATGAAAAGAAATATAATGCTCTTCTGAGAGGAATTTAAATTTTATTCCTTACCTATATTAAGAAAATATATTAAATAAATTTGGGAATTGTTTGGGGGGGTCTCCTAATATAGATGTATTAGGGCCAGGTATGATAGCTTGTTCCTGTATTCCCAGCGCTTTGGGAGGCTGAGATGGAAGGATCGCTTGTGGCCAGGAGTTTGAGACCAGCCTGAGCAACATGGCCGAACTCTGTCTCTATTAAATACAAAATTAAAAATTAGCCGGGCATGGTGGTATGCCCCTGTAGTCCTACCTACTCAGGAGTCTGAGGCAAGAGTATCACTTGAGCCCAGGAGTTCAACGTTACAGTGAGCTACGAGTGCGCCACTGCACTCAAGCCTGGTGACAGTGAGATTCTGTCTCTCCCTTTCTTCCTTTTTATATATAAAAAGAATTATTTTAAAAGTCTAGAACAAAGTTGTCTATGCAAGGTGAACTAAAAGCACTGTCTGTAAATAAATAATTATAATTTTCAACTACAGACTTATAAAGTTATATTTTAATACTTAGTACATTTTTGTGATTGAAAATTGCAAAAGACAACTAAATATTGTATCATACATTGTGAAGAATTCTATTTTTAAATATGTTAATTGAAACTTTATTTTTCAGATTTTGGAATCTCTTTTTAAGGTACGTTTAATATATTACAGCTTAAATCTACTAAAACTGAACACAGAAATACATGCCAATGAGATTTCTAAATTTTAAGAGAGTAGAAGAAATTTCATACTTGCTTCTCTATATATTTAAGAATTTTATGTTCATTTGTATAGTGAATTAGCCTCATTCTGAATCCCAAGTGATATTTGGGTCAGGGCTGATATTTGATAGATGAAGATTCACAGACACAGACACAGACACACATTTATATACATATTTATTTCATTGTTGCAATTTAAATTGTCACTAACTATTTCCTTTTTGTTCCTCTTTTGTTTTCTTAAAGTGGTTTCAGTTGCAGGTCAATCAGATGGAAGAAGTAAGTCTAATGTTTTAAAATTGTTAATTAAATTAATATTTTAAACTCATTTGAAAACCAATTTAGATTATATATATGTATAAGTCATTTTTAAATAACTATTGGTTATACAGTAATCTTTTTTCATTTGTGTAGACAAGGAATAAGAGAATGGAATAAAATATTTCTCAGTGACTTACACCCTATGTCCCTGTATATATCTGGTATACTCCAAGTTTGACTGACACATTCATTTTCTTAAAATTAAATAATGGAAACGAAGTTATTATTTTTTCCAATTTACATAAAGGAGTGATGAGAGAATCTTTCACTTAAAAATTTCTACCATATTTAAAAAATCATTCTAAATGATTTATGTGTAGACATAAAATTATGTGTTGATTTTCTATACATGAAATATGTTATTTTAATGATGTTCTTTTATACTTTTGATTTTCAGGTACTTTGCCATTAGTTTGAGAACTACTGGTCTCTGTCCTTAGGGGTTATTAATTCTACTTTGGAAAATACGTTATATATGCTATTAGTATAGTAGAATTATTTCCAGGGTAGCTTTATTGATTTACAGAGTTATTTTAGTTCTCATTTGGTCACACTTATGGTTCAGTCCAATTAAACACTCTTGAAGCCCAGGTTCTTCAAAGAAAAGAGACCAGTTTATTTGGGGGTATAAAATGAAAGGATAAATATAGATAGAACCTTAAATGCATGAACTGTAACTATATCCTAGCATCTTCTCATTATTTTATCTCTGATCCCAGAATAGAAGACTTTCATGGTCTATATGCTCTTTGCTTTAGGATACATTTGACTGACATTGGAAAAGTGTTAGTCTTTCTTTGATTATGGTGTAGTGGTCATTATCCTTCCAGAGAAGTAGGGTTAGAGTGAAGACTACTATTCCTCTACCCTCTTTTAAAATGTATTCTTCTTTGCAACTTTGGAAATTCATCTAGTCATCTTCTTTTCATCCATCAACCTCTTTTTATAGTTTTATTTATGTATTTTTATTATTTTACTTTTTAAGATGGAGTTTTGCTCTTTTTGCCCAGACCGGAATGTGATGGCATGATCTCAGCTCACTGCAATCTCCATCTCCCAGGTTCAAGCGATTTCCTGCCTCAGCCTCCTGAGTAGCTGGGACCACAAGCACATGCTACCATGCCTGGTTAATTTCTTTTTGTATTTTTAGTAAAGATGCGGTTTCACTATGTTGGCCAGGCTGGTACTGAACTCCTGACTTCGTGATATGCCCACCTCAGCCTCCCAGAGTGCTGGGACTACAATTCATCTTGTCATCTTCTTTTCATCCATCAACTTCTTTTTATTGTTTTATTAATGGGTTTACTTTTACTCTTCTTTTTATACTCATTCCTGTCAATGTACATGACCTACCCAAACCCTGGCCTCTCAGTTTCTTGACTTCCTCATCTGCAAAGATCTCTTGGCCTCCATTTCCAGTCACACTCTGGACCTTGTCATTAACCAAATTATTTTAAAAATTACTAATTTAGGCAACTTATTCTTGAACTTTAAATTTCTATTTTTCCAATTATCACTTTAAACACTGCTCTGACCACTCTTTGTCTTCATCAAGACCTCCAGTTCATTTATTCCTCTAACATCTTGCAGTCTTTTTAATTAATTTTTCTCTTTAGCTTAGAGACAGCAATTTATCACAAGTGAATTTCTTAACTTCCTAATCTTCCTTACTTCTTTCTCTTTTCATTGCACTTCTCTAACAAAACCTAACCCTGGGCCTATATCTTAGCTATGAAACACTGCTGGAGAAAATGACATAGTAGGTCAGACATAAGTACTCCAAACACTGCTTGACAAATATATTACACTTCTGAAATGAATTTCAACCCTTTCCTGCTACCATCTCAAACCTACTTCCTCTGTCCCATTTCATCTTCACTTTCAACCAAATACTTGGAATGCTATAAATACAAGCCATTGATTGGAGCTCCTGGACTCAAGCAACCCCCTCGCCTCTGCCTCCCAAAGTGCTGGGATGACAGGCATGAGCCACTATGCCCCGCCATGCCTTTTCAAAAACTTGGATTAATCCGTTATTCTCTCTTGTATTATTCAATTTCTCTCATTCAGTTGTATCCTTCCTTTCGGTTTTTAAATATGCTCCTCTATTTCTCATTTGATCCACATTCCTCTTTAGTTAAAGGCCTATTTCCATGCCCTTCATTAGCCTGTTTTTTAAAAAAATATTTTATATACAAATTTACTCATATTAGGGAAACAGTCATTAGATGATTATCAGGGTGTAAAGGCAAAACAGATTTTTAAGTGAGCGGAAAAAAAAAAAAACCCAAAAACCCAGAGTAGACAGTCTTTGAACATGAAACTAGTTGGCTCTTTCTTTTTTTTTTTTTTTTTTTTTTTAAGTATCCTATGAATAAACTGGCACCTAGTGAAGAGATTAATCTAGACACGCTTTCCTTAAGAGACAACTAAGGGTATTAAGTAAAACAATTAGAGTTGTTAATGAATTTCCTATAAAAACCCTTAAGAGTTTAGCTATGGAGCATGTGTCATACTTTCAGAGCCACATTTTTTTGTATATAAATTTGCTATACACTATGTTCTTACTTCTCAAGCATTTCTCAACCTATCCAGACTGAATTCTGTCTCCCTAACAAGTAAAGCATTCTCTCCATATGGTTCCCAGTAGGTTGTATGTTGTTAAATTCAATAGACTTTTTTTTTTTTTGCTTCAGCTATAGTTAATATTATTGATCATGCCCTCATTTTTGAAACATTATTCCTTTGGCTTCTGTGAATTACATTTTCCTGGCTATCATTTAACCTCTTTGTCTGTCTCCTTTTTAGAGTCCCCTTCTTAACCCAAGCAGTAAATGTTGGAGTACCTCAAAGTTTTATCCTATGTCTTTTTTCTTTTTCCTCCAAACTTTCTCCCTAGGCAGTCCCGTCCGGTTTTCCCATTCAAGTATTACCTTTCTGCATGTAATTCAGAAACATATACCTCTTGCTCAGAATGTTTCCCTGGACTACAGGCTTTGTATATAATTACTTACTAAACTATTCCACCTCAGATGCAATGGGTCAGAAATACAAATTTTTTACTCCTAAACTCATATATCTTCTAGTGTTCCCTATCTTAGTGAATGAGTGCTATTTATCAAATTAGGTAAACATGAAATGTGGAAACCATTCCTGACAACTCATTTCCATCTATTCCTGATATTTAATTCATCCACAAGTCCTCTGGATTTTACTTTCTAAATAACTGTCAGATTTGTCCACTTTTCTCTGTGATACCTTATTGTTGGTTATTATCATATCCATTATGCCTGAAATCCCAACTGGTGCATTCATAATCACCAGGAGGAATCCTCACTACACAACTATAATTCTTACCTGGAATTTCAATTTTTCAATGTTTTACCCATAGTTACTTCTCTCAAATATTTTGTTAATTTGGTATTCCAGATACATTTTCTAAAGGTTTGTATTATCTGCTGTCTTTGAAGGAGGGTTTCTCTTTTTTTGTAAACTTTTATTTTAAGTTCAGGGATACATGTGCAGGTTTGTTATTTAGGTAAACTCATGGTACAGGTATTTGTTGTACAGATTCTTTCATCACCCACGTATTAAGCCCAGTATCCAATAGTTACCTTTTCTGCTCATCTCCTTCCTCCCAACCTCCACCCTCAAGTAGATCCCAGTGTCTATCATTCCCTTCTTTATGTTCATGAGTTCTCATCATTTAGCTCTCACTTATAAGTGACAGCATGCGGTATTTGATTTTATGTTCCTGTGCTAGCTTGTTAAGGATAATGGCCTCCAGCTCCATCCATGTTCCTGCAAAAGACATGATCTCATTCTTTTATAGGGCTGCATAGTATTCTATTGTATTTATGTACCACAGTTTCTTTATCCAGTCAACCACTGATGGACATTTAGGTCGATTCTATGTCTTTGCTATTATGAATAGTGTTGCAGTGAACATACACATGCATGTGTCTTTGTGATGGGATGATTTATTTTCCCTTGGGTATATACCCAGTAATGGGATTGCTGGGTCAAATGGTAGTTTTGTTTTTAGGTATTTGAGGAACGACCACACCGTTTTCTACAACAGTTGAACTAATTTATACTCCCGCCAACAGTATATGCATTTTTTTTCTCCACAACCTTGCCAGCACCTGTTATTTTTTTACTTTTTAACAATAGCCATTCTGACTGGTGTGAGATGGTATCTCATTGTGGTTTGATTTACATTTTTCTAATGATCAGTGATGTTGAAGTTTTTTTCATATGATTGTTGGCCTCATGTATGTCTTCTTTTGAAAAGTGTCTCTTCATGTCCTTTGTCCACTTTTTAATGGTGTCGTTTGTTTGTGTCTTGTAAATTTGCTTAAGTTTCTGATAGATGTTGGTTATTAGGACTTTGTCAGATGAATAGTTTGCAAATGTTTTCTCCCAGTCTCTAGGTTGCCTATTTATTCTGTTGATAGTTTCTTTTGCTGCACAGAAGCTCTTAAGTTTAATTAGATCCTATTTGTTAATTTTTGCTTTTGTTGCAATTGCTTTTGGCATCTTTATGGAGTCTTTGTCTATTCCTGTGTCCATAATGATATTGCCTAGGTTGTCTTCCAGAATTTTTATAGTTTTGGGTTTTACATTTAAGGCTTTTGTTCATCTTGAGTTAATTTTTACATATGGTTGTAAGGAATGAGTCCAGTTTAAATCTTCTGCATTTGGTTAACTGGTTATCCTAGCCTCATTTATTGAACAGGGAGTCCTTTCTTCATTGCTTTCTTTTGTCAGATTTGTTGAAGATCAGATAGTTGTATGTATGCAGCCTTATTTGGCTTCTGTATTCTGTTCCATTGCTCTATGTGTCTGATGCCCCCAGATTTGTTCTTTTTGTTTTGGATTGCTTTGGCTCTTTGGGCTCTTTTTTAGTTCCATATGAATTTTGAAATATGTATGTATATTTTTTCTAGTTCTGTGAAGAATTTTATTGATAGTTTGATAGAAATATCATTGGATCTATAAATTGCTTTGGGCCGTATGGCCATTTTAACCTTACTGCTTCTTTCTATCCATGTACATGGAATTTTTTTTATTTGTTTGTGTCATTTCTGATTTCTTTGAGCAGTGTTTTGTAATTCTCCTTGTAGAGATAGTTTACCTCCCTGGTTAGCTGTATTCCTAGGTATTCTTTTTGTGGCAGTTGTGAATGGGATTGCTTTCCTGATTTGGCTCTTGGCTTGACTGTTGTTGAGGTATAGGAATGCTAGTGATTTTCCTACATTAACTTTGTATCTTTGATGCTGTTTATCAGCTGAGGGAGATTTTGAGCCAAGACTTTGGGGTTTTCTAGATATAGGATCATGTTGTCTATAAATGGAGGTAGTTTGCCTACCACTCTTCCTGTTTGGATGCCCTTTATTTCTTTCTCTTGTCTGATTACTCTGACTAGGACTTCCAATACTATGTTGAATAGGAGTGGTGGGAAAGGGTACCTTAAGAAATGTGTCTTAAAGTGTAGTTGATAGAACATGTTTAATTGTCACCCAAGATACCTGTTATAAGTGCACATTATTGAATTAGATTTCTTTTGTGAGTCTGTGAGTTAGGAATCTACTGTTTCAATAGGCAAGGAACAAGGGATTCTTATGCACACTAACATTTGAGATTCTTGTGATAATCTTTTTACTGCTGACAGAATTTATTGTCAGTACATGCTGTTGAAGTTAATGCCAGTGATCATGTTGCATTGCATGTTGTATTAACAGAGATACATGTGGAAATCATTAGAGTATATGGTGAGCTGCACCAGAGAAATGTAGGCTGAGCCTGCACCCTGTACTCTTCAGAATTGTTCTGCTGGAATCTGTGCCCCATAGGTCTTTCTGATGAAATTGTTTAGCTGATAACCCACTGTCTATTCCATACCCTTTTAGTTCTGTGCCTTCATCTTTTTTCCTAGAAAAGTCTTCTGTTAAAATTTAATCTCTATTGGGAAAGTAATGTATCAAGAGTCTAATCAAGAGACAAAAACCACACAGTAATTTGATTAGGGAAAGTTTAATATAAATAATTATTATAACAGAGGAATATCTACTAAAGAGTATTGATAGATGTTCTACTAAAGGAGTAAAGATAATTCTAATCAATACAGGAGTAGTAGATATAGGGAACAGCTTCGACTCCTAGGATAGACTCAGAATGTGAATATCCCCAATCCTTCTCTTCCAGCAACCCAGGGCTAAGATGCAGAACTCCTGAAGAGGGAGCAGCTTTCATCACTACATAGCAGAGAAATTTGCTGGGCTACAAAGCTGGTGGAACTTGAACTCTAATAGGAAGCTGTCCATGAGGGTGGTACACTTAGGAATATGCCCTCTCTGATGCTAGGAAAAGCCACCTTCCAGAGAGGTGCTCTACTTCCTTCTGGGAAGCTGTTCACAAGGGTGATATGTTGGAAAACTTCTCTAAGGGAAGCTCTGTACTGGTGGATTTTGTTAGGAAATTCTGGGAGAAGTTGCCCATAGGAATCTGCGATGCCAGGGACCTTACCAGGAAGTCATCCATAAGGATGATGTTGAAATTTTCTGCAGGTAAGTAGTATAAAATACACACTGCCTGAGAAATAAGCAGAAAGAGACACAGAACTAGGAAGAAAAGCCTCCTGCTCTTCCATTGCCTCTCCAGGAAAGGTTAACATCAGGCCACTTGTCAAGGAAGAAATATTCTACTATCACAGACAAGACAATAAAGAATAGATTGTTATTGTTCAACACCCACCTATGAGAGAGAACATGCGGTGTTTGATCTTCTATTCTTCTGTCAGTTTGCTGAGAATTATGGTTTCCAGGTTCATCCATGTCCCTACAAAGGACACAAACTCATCGTTTTTGATGGCTGCCACACTGGGGTCAGTTGGGGGGAAATAGGGGAGGGACGGTGGGGGGTGGGGAGTTGGGGAGAGAGAGCAAGGGGAGAGATGCCAGATGTAGGTGATGGGGAGGAAGGCAGCAAATCACACTGCCACGTGTGTACCTATGTAACAATCTTGCATGTTCTTCACATGTACCCCCAAACCTAAAATGCAATAAAATAAATAAATGGGAAAAAAAAAGAATAGAGTTTTGAGATGAGACTCAGTAAATTGATGACATCATTTTTGACTCAATTTATGATTTGTGGCTCCTTATTTGGGATCTTTCATTTGTCTATAGAGTTTCCATAGATCTCCTGCTTCCCTCCCACCAATTCTGTGTTCCTTTTCATATCTTCCCTACACTCAAGCTCATACTTGTGGTTCATTGCCCAGCATTTACTTCCTATTGTTATATCCTAATCTCATTCCAGTCATTACAAAAATGAAGTCTCTGTTCTTAATCCCCAATGCTACAATTTATCTTTGCCAAGTCCTAGACTTCATTTCCCCCTCAACTTTTCCTCCTATCATAAGGATTGGAGGTGACTACATGGGCAGATCTCTGAATTTAGGGGAAGAAATTATTTTAGCATTACTCTTGTAAATATTCTCTGCCATTTTTCTCTCAAAACTTTCTAGATATAGGATCACTTTCTAGGTGTAGGATCATGACCCCAATTGCTATTCTGCTTATTTATGTCTCCACATATTAACTGTTTATAGGTTTCTTTTGCTGTGGTTTTTGGACAGTCATTCTTGCTGAATTTCTTTAAATAAACTTACTACCTAGAATAGTAATTATGGTCATCTTATTCTGTGAATTTTGCTGTTTCTTCCCACTGCCTGTTATTTTTTAGCTTGGTCTATTCCAAAGGTCTCAAGGGCACCCAAATAAGTCTGAGTCTTCCCCACACAGACTGAAGGAATGCTAGCTCCATAGACCTTTATATGTTAACTTCTGGGAGTTGGTATAGACAATATTAGCCTTTGAGAGAAAATTACTGTCTTTAGATAATTTACCACAGTAAGGGTTATTCTTAGAAAGAATTTATGGGAAACAATTTAGAATTAGTCTTGTAAATATTGTCAGTTGCATGTATTGTTATTGGACTTGCTTAAAGTTCCTAAATATTAAAACAATAAACAGATGATTCAATTTCAGGTTTTACATGTAAAAGCCATCACTGAGCTTTTACATTCATAGGTAATTGCTCATATAAATATAATTGTAAAATATTATATCATTACTTGGCTGTAGCTATAGAGTAATATAAAAATTACTTTGATTTGATAAAGGAAATAATGAAATTTATTTGAAGTATTGGAGCAAAGTGAGTATTTACTAAGTAACTGGTTAATTTTATCATTTTAGATAAGTAAAGATCAAACTCTTTTACAAGAAGAGCCTCCAGACCCTGACAAAACAGTCACTTTAAGTCTTGCACAAGTAGTAAGGCTTGCACAAAGATTTGAAGAACTGAAGAATCGCCTTAAACAGAGGTCTAAAAACTCCTTGAAAGTCATGTTGTCTAAAACCATGTAAGTGAAATATAAGAACTAACTGAATTAAAAACAATAAGAAGGGGTATATAATTAGCACTGAATGTAAGATAATGAGTCATATATGATGGCTACACATAAAGCTTCTTAGTCAAATCAGGTCTAGTCAGCTTGTTTCTATTTGCAATTTTTAATAATCTGAGATATACAATACAGGAGACATTATCTGCATGTGGCTACGCAAATTCAATGTAGAAAATCAGTTTCTTAGTCACACTAGCCACATTTAAAGTGCTTTGTACCCACATTTGGCTGTTATTAGAAAGTTATATTGGACATTGCTAGCTTTGAAATATCTGGCTTATAAACTCTTCTTTCAGTTTGATTAGGTAACTGCTAGTAATAAGTAGAAAACTGAGATCTAATGAAATATTTCATTGTTCATGAACACTTTTATTAAAATTATATTAACAGCTCATCCAAGTAAAATTTTTACATTTATAAGCAACCATATTTTTGCATTAAACATAGACAAAATTTTTTTATAGTGTTGAAATAGGAAACATGTACCCATATTTGGGAGGGGCCCCTAGTTATGTGGTTACTTTAGTGATATATTACTAAATAACTTAAAATAATGAAGAGAATGGTACCTGAGTTGGCTCCTGGGGGTTATATATCTAGATTCTTGGTTCAGAGGTTGAGGTTTAGACCATATTAATACTTTACATTTAAGTATCTGCTGTGTCCTAGGGATTTTTGTAGTAACTTTACATGTATAATCTTTGATTGCCATAACTGCTTCACGAGAAAGGTACTATTGTACCTCAATTTTAATAAGAATAAACTGAAACCCAGAGAGGTTAAGTAATGTACCTGGCTGAGGTTATATAATTAGTAAGTGGATGAAGCAGGTTTTGGGTCTGCTAGTCTCGCTTCAGAACTTATGTCCTTCATCATTATATGATTGACAATAATACAGTGACAAAAAACAATTTATGTTTCTAACAGTTTTTGCTACTTTTGTTGTTAATGTTGTTGGTATACCTAATTATATTCATGGAATACATAGAAGTAATAATTACATAGTTTAGTTTGACTTTTATACTTTTTAACTTATAACTTGTTAATTTACCTTAATGTCTATAAATAAAGATTAAAGATATGTTTAATTTTTACTTTACAAACTTCATATGTCTAGACTGCACATTTTAGTTCTTTAGTATAATTTAAACTCTTACTCTTTGATACATTAAAAATGTTTTGTTTATTGAACTTTAACAGGAATAAAGAAAATCTACCAGAAGCAGTGAAAAGTTGTGAAGATGTAGCACAGAAAATGGAAGGTGATAATATTTGATACATGTTTGTCCTTAAACATTTTATTTAAAAAATTGTTAGTATTTTTTATTTTTTAAAGAGAGGGTCTCACTCTGTCACCTGTGCTGGAGTATAGTGGCATGACTATCACTCACTGCAACCTCAAACTCTTATTTAATAGTGAGTTTGATACTTTAATAAAAGTTCCATTATGTTCCAGATTCTGGGAACATACAAAATGAATACAGTGTGTATCCCCTGTACAGACAACAACTTGGTTGTTACTTCCATAAAATTTACAGCTTAATAAGGATACAAATACATTATCTAGCATGTCAGTACAGTGTCATGCATAATAAAGATATGTAGAATTTGCACTGGGTCCACAGAAAGAAGCAATCTGTTCAACCTAAGGGAGTTAGAAAGCCTTTATGCAACTTTAAAGGGTGAATAGGATTTAGTCAAGTAAATAAGGGAAATATTTGGTATTTTAAGAAGACAATAGCATGAACAAACAACATGCATATGGAATTACAACTGGATTGGTATCACAGTAAGAAGCAGGATAAGGGATAAGGTAAAAGAGGGCCTAATCATGGTGGGAATGGATGCTCTGCTAAGGGGCTTAGACTTTTTTCAAATATAATAAGGAATAATTGAAGATTTTTTGTAGAATTTAATTTTAGAGAGTTTTTTTTTTTTCTGGCCAAACTGTAGAAGCTAAATTTGGGGACTAGGAGTAAGAAAGGGAAGTTATTATATCTTAGATGGGTGATAAGCACCTATATTCAAGGACTAGTGAAGAGAAGAAGGGAGTTAGGTTTGAGAAATATTTACTTGATAGAACTGGCAAAAGTTGGTGATTGGATGTGGGAGGAAGGAAGGAAGACTAGATAATGATGGCACCATCAATGAATATAAGAGGCTTCAGGAGGAAAAACAAATTTTGATGAGAAAGTGATGTTTATAATCAGCTGTTACACATGTTCTTTTAAATATTATGATTTGTTGACTGATTGGAAAGATCTACAGTGTTGGCAGCTATTATTTTTTCATCGTTTTCTTTCTTTTGATGAGTTACTAAAATTAAAACTCAATTAGTGCATGTGATTACTGTTTGAAATTTATAGTAACAAATACACTTTTAATAATTTCAGAATTCATAAAAGCCCACTCAACTGATGAATTTAAAGATGTTTCTGCAATGGAGCCACGTAAGTTTCCACTCATGAAAGCATTATTGTGGTAATAACCTCTGTTAGATTAATTTCTCTAAAGTAATAATTATTAGGTTAACAATACATATTCCCTGCCTTGGAGCTGGGAGCCATACACTTCATTTGGTTGTCAGGCAAGTATTGAAATTCCTAGTTAAGGATACATGTTACTGAAATTAGATTTTTTTTTTAAAATTATGCTTTAAGTTCTGGGGTACATGTGCAGATTGTGCAGAATTGTTACATAGGTATACACATGCCATGGTAGTTTGCTGCATCCATCCCTCTATCACCTACATTAGGTATTTTTCCTAATGTTATCTGTACCCAATACCCTGACCCCCTGCTATCCTTCCTCTAATACCCCCAGCCCCCAAATGCCCTGGTGTGTGATGTTCCCCTCCCTGTGTCCTTATGTTCTCATTGCTCAACACCTGCCTATGAGTGAGAACATGTGATGTTTGATTTTCTGTTCTTGTGTCAGTTTGCTGAGAATGATGGTTTCCAGATTCATCCATGTCCCTACAAAGGACACAAACTTATCAGTTTTTATGGCTGCATAGTATTCCTTGGTGTATATGTGCCACATTTTCCTTGTCTAGTCTATCGTCAGTGGACATTTGGGTTGTTTCCAGATCTTTGCTATTGTAAACAGTGCCTCTGGGAACATACATGTGCATGTGTCTTTATAGTAGAACGATTTATAATCCTTTGGGTATATACCCAGTAATGGAATTGCTGGGTGAAATGGAATTTCTATTTCTAGGTCCTTGAGGAATCACACTGTCTTCCACAATGGCTGAACTAGTTTACACTCCCACCAACAGTGTAAAAATGTTCCTATTTCTCCACATCCTCTCCAGCTTCTGTTGTCTCCACATTTTTTAATGATTGCTATTATAACTGGCAAGAAGTGGTATCACTGTGGTTTTGACTTGCACTTCTCTAATAATCAGTGATGATGAGCATTTTTTCATATGTTTGTTGGCTTCATATATGTCTTCTTTTGAAAAGTGTCTGTTCATCTCCTTCAACCACTTTTGAATGGGTTTTTTTTTTTTTTTCCTGTAAATTTGTTTTAGTTCTTTATAGATCCTGGACATTAGCCCTTTGTCAGATGGATAGATTGCAAAATTTTTTTCCCATTCTGTTGGTTGCCAGTTCACTCTAATGATTGTTTCTTTGGCTGTACAGAAGCTCTGGATTTTAATTAGGTCCCATTTGTCTATTTTGGCTTTTGTTGTCAATGCTTTTGGTGTTTTAGTCATGAAGTCCTTGCCTACACCTATGTCCTGAATGGTTTTCCCTAGGTTTTATTCTAGGGTTTTTATGGTGTTAGGTCTTATGTTTAAGTCGTTAATCCATCTGGAGTTAATTTTAGTGTAAGGTGTCAGGAAGGGGTCCAGTTTCTGCTTTCTGCACACTGCTAGCCAGGTTTTCCAACACCATTTATTAAACAGGGAATCCTTTTCCCATTGCTTGTTTTTGTCAGGTTTGTAAAAGATCAGATGGTTGTAGATGTGTGGCATTGCCTCCAAGGCCTCTGTTCTGTTCCATTGGTCTATATCTCTTGTTTTGGTACCGGTACCATGCTGTTTTGATTACTGTAGCCTTGTAGTATAGTTTGAAATCAGGCAGCGTGATGCCTCTGGCTTTGTTTTTTTTTGTTAGGATTGTCTTGGCTATGCAGGCTCTCTTTTGGTTACATATGAAGTTTAAGGTGGTTTTTTCCAGTTCTGTGAAGAAGGTCATTGGTAGCTTGATGGGGATTGCGTTTAACCTATAAATTACTTTGGGCAGTGCGGCCATTTTCACGATATTGATTCTTCCTAACCATGAGCATGGAAGGTTTCTCCATCTGTTTGTGTCCTCTCTTATTTCCTTGAGCAGTGGTTTGTAGTTCTCCTTGAAGAGGTCCTTTACATCATTTATTAGTTTTATTCCTAGATATTTTATTCTCTTTGTAGCAATTGTGAATGGCAGTTCACTCATGATTTGGCTCTCTGTTAGTCTGTTATTTGTGTATAGAAATACTTGTAATTTCTGCACATTGATTTTGTATCCTGAGACTTTGCTGAAGTTCTTTATCAGTTTAAGGAGATTTTGGGCTGAGATGATAGGGTCTTCTAAATATGTCATCTGCAAATAGAGAAAATTTGACTTCCTTTTTTCCCAATTGAATGCCTTTTATTTTATTTTTCTTGCCTAATTGCTCTGGCTAGAACTTCCAATACTATATTGAATAGGAGTGGTGAGAGAGGGCATCCTTGTCTAGTACCAGATTTCAAAGGGAATGCTTCCAGTTTTTGCCCATTCGGTATGATATTGGCTGTAGGTTTGTTGTAAATAGCTTTTATTATTTTGAGATATGTTCCATCTGTAGTTAGTTTATTGAGAGTTTTTAGCATAAAGCGCTGTTGAATTTTGTCAACGGCCTTCTCTGCATCTATTGAGATAATCATGGATTTTGTGTTTGGTTCTGTTTTTGTGGTGGATTATGTTTATAGACTTGCATATGTTGAACCAGCCTTGCATCCCCTACTTGATCGTGATGGATAAGCTTTTTGATGTGCTGTTGCAATTGTTTTGCCAGTATTTTATTGAAGATTTTTACATTGATATTAATCATGGATATTGGCCTGAAGTTTTCTTTTTTTGTTGAGTCTCTGCCAGGTTTTGGTATCGGGATGATGTTGATCTCATAAAATGATTTGGGAAGGATTCCCTCTTTTGGGTTGTTTGGAATAGTTTCAGAAGGAATGGTACCAGCTCCTCTTTGTATGTCTGGTAGAATTCAGATGTGAATCCATCTGGACCTGGGCTTTTTTTGATTGGTAGGCTGTTAATTGCTGCCTCAACTTCAGCCCTTGTTATTGGTCTATTCAATGTTTCAACTTCTTCCTAGTTTAGGCTTGTGAGGGTGCAAGTGTCCAGGACTTTATCCATTTCTTCCAGGTTTACTAGTTTACATGCATAGAGTTGTTTGTAGTAATCTCTGATTGTTGTTTGTATTTCTGTGGAATCGGTGGTGATATCCCCTTTTTTGTTTTTTCTTGCATCTATTTGATTCTTCTCTCTTTCCTTTTTTATTAATCTGGCTAGCAGTCTCTCTATTTTGTTGATCTTTTTAAAAAAGCAGCTCCTGCATTTATTCATTTTTTGAAGGATTTTTTAATGTCTCTATCTCCTTTGTTTCTGCTCTGATCTTAGTTATTTCTTGTCTTCTGTTAGCTTTTGAGTTTTTTAAATCTTGTTCCTCTAGCTCTTTCAAATTTTGTGTTGATTTTAGATCTTTCCTCGCTTCTCCGGTGGGCATTTATTGCTATAAATTTCCCTTTAGACACTGCTTTAAATGTGTCCCAGAGATTCTGGTACATTGTATCTTTTTTCTGATTGCTTTCAAATAAGATCTTTATTTCTGCCTTCATTTCATTGTTTATCCAGTGGACATTCAGGAGCAGGTTGTTCAATTTCCATGAAGTTCTGAGTTAGTTTCTCAATTCTGAGTTCTGATTTGATTGCCCTGTGGTCTGAGAGACTGTCTGTTATGATTTCCATTCTTTTGCATTTGCTGAGGAGTTATTTACTACCAATTATGTGGTCAATTTTAGAGTAGGTGCAATTCGGTGCTGAGAAGAATGTATATTCTGTGGATTTGGTGTGGAGACTTCTGTAGACGTCTATTAGGTCTGGCTGGTCCAATTCTGAGTTCAAGTCTTGGATATCCTTGTTAATTTTTTGTTGTGTTGATCTGTCTAATATTGACAGTGGAGTGTTAAAGTCTCCCACTATTATTGTGTGGGAGTCTCAAGTCTCTTGGTAGGTCATTAAGAACTTGCTTTATGTATCTGGGTGCTCCTGTGTTGGGTGTGTATGTATTTAGGATTGTTATCTCTTCTTGATACATCAATCCTTTATCCATTTTGTAATGCCCTTCTTTGTCTCTTTTGATCTTTGTTGTTTTAATGTCCATTTTATCAGAGATAAGGATTGCAACTCCTTTGTTTTTGCTTTCCATTTGCTTGATAAATCTTCCTTTGTCCCTTTATTTTTTAGCCTATGTGTGTACTTGCTTGTGAGATGGGTTTCCTGACTATAGGACACCCATGGGTCTTGGCTTTTTATCCTATTTGCCAGTTTGTGTCTTTTGATTGGGGCATTTAGCCCATTTACATTTAAGGTTAATATTGTTATGTGTGAATTTGATCCTGCCATTTTGATGCTAGCTGGTTGTTTTGCCCATTAGTTGACGCATTTTCTTTATTATGTTGATGGTCTTTACCATTTGGTATGTTTTTGGAGTGGCTGGTACTGGTTGTTCCTTTGTTTAGTGCTTCTTTCAGGAGCTCTTATAATGCAGGCCTGGTGGTGACGAAATCTCTCAGCAATTGCTTGTCTGCAAAGGATTTTATTTCTCCTTCACTTAGAAAGCTTAGTTTGGCTGGATATGAAATTCTAGGTTGAAAGTTATTTTCTTTAAGGATGTTGAATATTGACCCCCCCCCCCTTCTGGCTTGTAGGGTACCTGTGGAGAGATCCACTGTGAGTCTGATGCGTTTCGCTTTGTGAGTAACCTGACCTTTGTCTTTGGTTGCCCTTAGCATTTTTTCCTTCATTTCAACCCTGGTGAATCTGATGATTATGTGCCTTTGGATTTATCTTCTCGAGGAATATCTTTGTGGTGTTCTCTGTATTTCCTGGACTTGTATGGTGGCATGCCTTGCTAGGTTGGTGTTTTCCAGCTTGGATTCATTCTCTCCATCACATTCAGGTATATCTATCAAACACAGATTAGGTCTTTTCACATAATCACATATTTCTTGGAGGCTTTGTTAATTTCTTTTCACTCTTTTTTCTGTAATCTTGCCTTCTCATTTTATTTCATTGAGTTGATCTTCAGTCTCTGATATCCTTTTTCTGCTTGGTCAATTTGGCTATTGAAACTTGTGTATGCTTTGTAAAGTTCTCGTGCTGTTTTCAGCTCCATCAAGTCTTTT